GGGAATTCCCCTGTATTCTCCTCACATGTGACGTGTTTCTATTGGCTAGTACAGGTGCTGTCCTTAAAACTGTCACGTGTGTTTTGTTTGCGGTTTGATAAATAAGCCGAGGCGTGCCTTGCTTAATGCTTTCAGACATCGTCTGGAGCACGCGCAAAGGCTTTTTTAGTCAAAGTAACTTACTGTTGAATCGAAAAATGTCACGATCGGTTTGAAGCAGTGACAATAATGCAACCGTTTAGCAGAATAACATCACGGAATTTTCAGTATATTTTTGCAATTTAAGCTACTGCCTTGCGTAGAAAGGAACCCGCCAAAGGACAGCGCGGTCTCTATGATAGAATAGGAACAAAACACACACCGAGATACCATTTTGCAGTTCCGCTCCGACTACAAAATGTTTTGAAAACTTAACTTATACTGATAGAAAGGCACATCTAAATTGACTTCTTTACCGGACAAGCACTGCTGTTGAGTTAAGGAGAATATAGTGCAGCTTTGTCAAAGTAAATGCCTGGGTCGTTAAGGAAGGTGGCGTGTGTTGTGTAAACCACCTGACGCTATACGTGTATGCAGAAAGTCCGTTATCATGCCCACTGCGACAGATAACACGAACATGTATCAGTGACTGTTATTGATTCCCCCTACAGAAAAAAAACTGCAGTATAATGAAAGACTAACCAAACTTTTCTCTACCTTTTCTGACATTCGCCATAACTCTGTAACAATCTGGGAAAATTAAGTAGGCCTAAGCCCACACATAGCGGTGGTTTTCAAATTCCGCCGTCCCTTCGGGCTCTACACTGTCATTACGAATCAGCACGTTAAAAGTTAAACTGTCTTAAAAGACAGCTGACGAGCGGCGAAGTTCGACCTGGCTGTGGTAAAAATATTCATCAATTTTTATCAAAGAAAGGTATTTTGTATTTGTTTCTTTATATTCGTTCTCTATTTTAGTGGCTACGCCATGGACAGCGAATCAGCAAGATCAGCTCTCGCTTCCACGAGAATTTCTACAGCGGCAAAGGAAGAACCCGTTTTCTGAATGTCCTGAAAATCTCGCCACTGAATAGGACGGACGTGGGGGAGTACGTGTGTGTGGCAAGCACGCAGACGGCGTCCAGTAATGTGTCAGTTGAGATAAGAGGTGAGAAAGATTGTGACTGCCTTGGTGTGTGCGTGTTTGAAGGAATTTATTTGATATTAGGGTTTTAAATTGATGTGCATGCCTTTGTGTGTGTTTGGATGCAAATCTTTTACACCACTGGTTCTTGACGTTCATTAAGACCTACCTTTTTGTTTATTTTTTGACAAATTATTCATCGTCAAGCCAACCATGTGTACATCTGAATTCCACTGTAGAATTTATTAAGGTGTTATTAATACCTACATTTTGGTGATTATTATTATTATTATTATTATTATTATTATTATTTATTTATTATTATTAATTTTTTTGTTGTTGTTGCAGAGCTCTTGGTATCTGAGCCACTTGGTACTAACGAACCTTTTCATATTGACAACCGTGCCGCCATAGCGACCATCACTGGCCTGGCGTTGTTGTTTGTGGTGACAGTGGTGGTTTTGCCTTGGGTCGTGTACCAGAAACGGTTTATCATAAAACTGAGAGCGAAGAGGTATTTTGGAAAGTACGAAGATACAGGTAAATTGTGTTAATTGTTTGCTTTTCTTTTAATACATTTTTTTTTTTTCTGTACCTGTATTTAAATATATTTTCCTTGAGATTTTTCCGTGGATGTTTATTAATCTCTCTCTCTCTCTCTCTCTCTCTCTCTCTCTCTCTCTCTCTAACGCTGCTGTTTTTCATGACATGACATTATTTTAATTTTGTATTTTGCAGATGATAAGCTTTATGATGTATTCGTATCTTACTGCCCAGACTCGGTAGACGAAATATTCGTAGTTCGAACACTGGTTCCTAAACTGGAACAGACATATAATATGCGAGTGTGTGTTGACTACAAGGAGTTTTTGCCTGGAGAAGGTGGGTTTTCTGAAAATTGGATGGTCCGAGATCCTTACTGGAAAATTTTCTTTGAATGTTAAGTCACCTTCATCCTGCTCTCCTTCTGTCATTCTCTCTCTCTCTCTCTCACACACACACACACACACGTGCGCGCGCACACACATACTCGCACGTACGCTCGCGCATCTGTGCACATGAACTGACATAACTCGCATATTTAGTGCACCAATATTTCATTTTGCAATAATAATGGAAGACGTTAATATTAACATAAATGACTAGTTTCCGTTTATCTTATAATGTTTTTCTTTCTTATTTTATTCATACTTTTAGTCCTAAGTGTCAGTGTTATAGAAGCCGTGGAATCAAGTCGAAGAACAATTCTCGTTCTCTCTCCGAGATTTATCGAGAACGGCTGGTGCAGATTTCACTTTCTTAGCGCGCAGTTGGAAATGCTTCAATCCAAGCACAGCATTATACCTTTGATATATGAGGACATAAGCAAAATAAGTTCCACAGACAAAGATCTCAGAAATATACTTAAGATCGCCAAACCAGTGCGGTGGCCATCTGAGAGAAGGCCTAGGACTGAAAACAACTTCTGGGACCACTTGCATTTATTATTGCCAAAGAAACGAAAACCAGCGTCTGGTTTTAGGGTAAACTTTTCTCGATGGGTGTTTGCAAGCAATAAAGTGGATTATGTCAGTACAGATCTGAGTTATGACAATAGCAGGCCAAAATCGAGGTCCGAACGTTCAAACGGGGTCATAAGCCCGGCAGATTTTACGGACTTAAAACTCCACATAGAAGACATTGTTTGACAATGTCGGCGTTGCAGCAGTGATTAACCTATAAGATACAGGTCTAATTGGTCGGGTAGTTCCAGATACTTGACTAGAGTCATCATCGGTTGGATTAATTTAAAGGGAATGTGCCTTCCAAATGATGGCACAGGACCAGACACACACGAGCACGTGCTTTGTCGCAAACGACATTTATACTGGGTTCCCATACCTACATCGATCTCACAGGATCGATCCATCTCCAAATGGTTTCTCATTAAATTGCTTTCCACTTAAGCGTCTTATATTTCTGGCACACCTACTGAAGCTGTTAAACGATAATTAATTATCCCCTCACAGCTTCAGTAGGCGTGACAGACATCTAAACCGCTTAAGCGGAAAGCAATTTAGCGAGAACCCCCCTTGCAGATAGATCGATCCACAGTTAGTACGATAGGGTCAGCGAATGGACCCTTACAAAAAATCATTTCTATTTTTATTTTGGTTCAAATTATACATAATTATTGGAAATTTATATTTAATATTAGTGAAGAAAGAAATTACTTATATGATTAGTCTTATTTATTTATTGCTTCTCTTCATAATTAGGGTTTACGTGTGATGGGTATAAGGTAAAAGTAGCGTGCTGGCGGTCCTTAATACTTGCTATGAAAAGATTTGTGAAATGTAAAAAGTTCCTGAAGACGCCTAAATATAAGTGAGAATGTGTTTACGTCTGAGGGATCAGCTTGTCGGCATTGGTTTGCGGAGTCATTTAGTTTCCTTTAAGACTAGCGCCTGTTAGATTTATTATTATTATTATAATAATTATCATTATTGTTGTTGTTGTTGTTGTTGTTGCTTAGTCCACGGTAAATAATGGAAGTGTGTCTTCTGTTATAGCGATATTAACTTTAACTTGAAGGGCTAACGAACACTATGGCAAATGACTAAATAAATACAGTAAATATGAAGAAAACTCAAAAAGAAAATAAACTGATTCCCCGACTTCGTGGAAACCTATCACTGAAACATTGATCCGTTTGATTAGTGAAGTAAAACAAAGGGTATTTACCTCTTGGTAAACCTTGCCGCTCGTTAACCATCTTTGAAATCGCGCGTGATCTGGAAGCCGGCGCGAGAATTGAAATCGAATGGATGGCAGAATTTGAAAAACCACCGCTTAAAACGAGGGTAAAGGGCATTTTCATTGCCCCATTGGCTCTCAAACGAATTATACGCCATCAGCGATGTGTTTGCCTCTCTTAACCTTTGATAAGATATATATCTCATATAACTTATATCATATTGTGTAAGGATTAAAGTCCTAAATTGATGTAAATATAAAGATACCTGCCCCATTGTTTGGCCAGGTTATATCAGGAAGGGACAGGTGTAAGTCATGATCATCCGTCAGTTGTCTCTAGGTAAGTTATCTCACTGTCCGTTTATTGCACAATTTATAGATGCAGCTCTTCCTCCTGTCAGAAACTAGGCCGTAATTCTGCAACTGATTGCATCTTCTTGTGTGATTTGTACTGTTTGTTTCTCCATTTAATTTAAAAGATATTGATTTAAGTTTTCTCATTTAATGTGTAAGATATTGGTTTTAGATTCCCTCACTCTTGACCTACAAAGGCATTGAAATCCACACTGTTTCTAAAACCAAAAGGGTGAATAAAAAGTTTATTTGAAGAAACAAGGTTAAATGGGCAGTGCTAAAAAAACGAGGGTCCAGGTAACAGACCGTCCGCCCTCCATTAATTCGTACAGGTTAGGGTTATCGTGACGTAGGTGGGTCAAATCTAGGATGAAGTTTACATGTACAAATCAATGGTATCCCGTATCACTAGGGACTTTGGTACGGGACATGCTTCTAACGCGTAACTGCACCATTGTATTGTAGCGCTAGTACTGTTGGTTAGCGCCTCGGCGTTCCCCAAACCTCCTCGAACCATACCGCCCGCGAACCCCAGCGACCCTGACCGTCTGCCGGATGGCATACAAAAACGAGTTCTCGTTCTAGGTAAGTTTTCAAAAGGAGTTTAAAAAGGAGTTAACTCAGAGCTATCTGCGCACCTATAGGCCTATCTCGATCGGTGCCTCTTATTAATGCATTTTGTACTGTATTTTTGATCCTGGAACTTACGTTTGTAACCTGATAAATTGTTCTTTCACTAGTTCCAGTATCAGATTTATATACATATTTGTCACTCTAATTCTACTGGATGACTGAATACATCCATTCATTAGTAGAGCATGTTCATACCATACATCTATTTAATTTTTGTTACTGCAATCATAGGATCTATCTATTTCGTTTCATATCGTGTATGTTTTCATTATTGTTGAATAACAACGTTTTAAACGTATCTTACCCATATTTTATGAAGCACGATTTAAACTAAAGTGACGCAACCGCACTGTACAGGCTTCTTATGGAATGAACTATTTTTATACGCACTTTACCAAGGTGGGGGCTTAGCTGGCCTCTCAGCTGCACTAGAGCTCGCGGAACGTGGCTATGACGTCACAGTTAAGGAGAAGAGTGACGTGTTCGGCGGGAAATTGTTTACCAGAAGGGTCGACATTCCAGGGCTTGGAGCTTTTGACGTCGAGCATGGCTTTCATGGTAGGGGGCTGCAGGGACTGGGCATTATTCAGCCCTCGGGTCGGCGTCAAATTAAATATTTTTAAAGGGTCCATAAAATAATTGTTCTCTAAATTCTTCAAAATGAAAAAGAAAAGTTTTGGGAGGGGTTGGGGGAGATTATTTGTGAAAGAAAATCAGATCAGGTTGAGGTAAGACAGAACACAGATTTGCTAACAAATTGCTATTCAGACAAATTATTCAGAAAACGACCTATACGGGCTTTCTTAGTTATTAAACGGCTTTTAAATTTTTCATTAAACATTCGTTATTCATTAATCCTCGGAAAAAATTTATAAGTGGATTAATCAAATTGTTCCTCTCAAGACCCTATTTTACATTGTTTTAAAGTACATTTTTTCTCAGTTCACATTCTCATCTCAGTTTCTATTTATAATTTGTCATTCCGTAGCATGGTTCTTTAATTACCATCAATTCAAAGACATTCGCCGTCGTCTGAAAATCGACAACAATTTTCGCGTATGGAAGGCCGTCCACTACATCTTCTTGGACTACAAGCCGGAGACGATTTACAGCGAGGGACCTTATCCGCTCAACCTATTAGGTAAGCTAGAGACTACAGTTTCTATATATAAAATAATGTTAATCAAAAATTTAGCTTTTTAACACACGTAACTATTGTGTGTAGAAACTATTGAACATTAGGATGGGGCGTATACGTTCAAGCAACTTAAACCCAACGAATGGAGTGGGGCCATATTCGTTTAAGGCTGTATTCCCAGAGCTTTTAGATCGATCTATCCCCGCGGGGAGTCTCACTAGATAACTGTCAGATAATCCGGCTTAAATGTCCGTCCCGCCTACTACAAGCTGTAAGGGGGTAATTAACTTCCGTGTCCGCCCGGCTGAGAGCTATTTAGCGTGAACCCCCAGGGAGTTAGGTCGATCTAAAGTAGATCGATCTAATCTCTGGAAATGGGGTTTAAGCTACTGGTGTGGGTGAGCTTAAACCCAATGGAATTAGGGATGGGGCATATAAGTTCAACCTATGGGTAGGCTAGAGACTATCGGACTTATGGAGGGGGCATATCCGAAACTGGGACACTGAAGTTCTAAAGACCAAGGCACACTATTTCCTTCACTTTTTTTACTAAAATACTCATTGTCACTCATTGACTGGGTCAAAGAAATTATGCGTTATATTCAGCCCTTGTGTTACAATCCCAACTTTAGATCTTGTGTTACACGGGACTCAGAGTATTAATGAGACCTTGGACATAAATTCGTTATTATGTCCAAGATGAGGCCCTGAAGTTTTGTTACATCAGCCTGACACCATTGTGTCCAACAGACACCAAATGACCTTTCAGGTAACCATCTTGCCCTGGATTGTGTGCACCAGTGTCCTCATCTCTTATGACAAAGGAAGCAGTCGTCACTTTATCGGGTTCAGTAAATAGATCCACTTAAATTGGTCGGGGCGTAGTCTAGAGGTGTCGTCAAACAAGGCCGACTGCCTTTCATCTTGTTATCAAGGGCCTTTAATCAGATTGTCAAGGTCTCAAATGACTTGACGCCACGTGACCAAGGGCTCATTCCCAACGAAACTATCGTTCCACATAGATCGATCCGACATATCGGGGATTCGTGCTTATTATTATTATTATTATTATTATTATTATTATTATTATACATGTGATGATTTTGCTGCTCCTCTCCTGTAGTAAGTGATATACCATTATCCTCAATGCCCTACTATGCTGTACTTCAATCACATACTAAAGGTTTCAAGACACAATGCATAATTATTGAATTATTTATATTTTGATATGATATAACAATATGAGCGAATTTGAATTAAATATAATATATTGTCAATGAAAAAATATATGGATACTAGTGGCAATACTAGCAACTAAATAATTAACTAATACGGTTGGGTGTTCGAAATAAGAAAGATTAATACATAAGCTTTGACCAATAGCAGCCTGTGTTTCATTTAATGCTGAAAATGATAAGGTTATTTCCATTCTTTTGATTGATCTTAAAGCACGTAGTGCCTTTATTTATTATATCATTCTAGGCATTATCAGTAGGAGCCCCAATATCAAACTGACGGACGCTATTCTCTCCAGTCTAATGTTGCCAGATCTGGATTTCTTCGACTACGACACAGTGTATCAAAAGTAAGTACTGAAAGTTAAGTCTGCATCCGGGTCTTTGTAAGAAAATTGATTCATTAATCTTTTATAGACAACGGCTTTGTTTAAAACATTAGGGCACTGTCTGTTTTTATTATCAATTTATAATTTATCACATTGGCATTTATTGTACCTGTAGACTGGAAGGTTTTTGACAAAGTTATTGGATTAGCGATTTTAGCACCATTACACTGTCTCGTCTTGTACATATGCTGTTGCATAAAGTAACTTTTGCCTCAAAATGTGATGATGATTTTGTCTTTTGACCAAAGTGACACAAAAAGGATACTTTCCAAGAATAATATACGCAAACAAATAAGATACCCACATGACGAAAAATGATCTGTGGAATAATAACAATAATATCATTGTTTTTAAGGTATGATAACATAACATTTGACCAGTGGGCCACCATGCGCGGCGTGCAACGAGATCTGAACGATATTCTCCTTCGTCCCGCCCTCTCTGTGACCTTGAACGAACCCAGGGCCATCAGTGCAGCTGAGATGCTCATGTAATTATATGATTTATGATTATAACTTAAAGAATGCTTAATAAAACGGAAAACTAACTTTAAAATAACAATATTGGGTTTGAAGTTTTGGTGTATAGAGGGTTTGATTAAAAATAAATAATGCGCCGACTGAACTTCAAAAGTGATGAATACATGTATGCTTTATACCGGAACACGTATCTCAAATTATTCGCTATGGTTTATAGTTTATTGTTGACATTTAATACATCTGGCACCTCTGGTGTTTAATAAAAGTAATGTTCTAAAAGGCATATATTTTTGATACTAGGAATATTTTACCCGTTTCCCCGTTTCAATTAAGACCAATCTAGTAAGTGGAAAGGGGGCGCAATATTTCCTATTAAATTAATACAGGTAAAATTAAGTGTAATTTGTGCTCCATAGATGAATAAATTATCAGATTTGAAGCATATTTTAACATAGGTACATGCAGCTCTATTTCCTGACCAATGCGGAGGCTGACCACCGCGAGGTGACCATATACAGCTTTGGGAAAGCCATCCTGCAGCCCTGGCTTGATCGGCTGTCCGAGCTCCATGTGAAGTAATTATTTTTTTATAAGAAATGTTTGTAAGAACAGGCCCGTAGCCAAGGGGGTTCGAAAGAACCACCCCTTTTGCTGGGAAAAGATCCACTCTGGGTAAAATATGATCGAGGTACATGAAGTTTTTTTATGGAAAAAGGTCCACTTTTTCAGAAAAAGAACCCCCCTTTTGAAATTGCTGGCTACGGGCCTGTAAGAATCTTAACAGCGCATGGGTAAGGTACTATTTTACATTATAATGTGAGCAGGGGACTATCAATTTGTTTAAATAAATCTTTTGTGAAATTTCGAATAAAATGTTTTACACCATTGATAATCCAGACACAAAAAGCATTAATTTATATTTAACGCGCAATGAATAGGAATACAGTTCTTTGCAACATTATGTTAACATGAAAGACCGTCAGTCTACAGCTGTACACGTGTTCCTATTCTAACAGGTTGCATTCCAACTATTCAGTTGAGCGTCTAACCATAAGTGACCAAGGACAGGTGACCGGTGACAGCAAGGACGCCGTCGTGTATGATCACGTGGTTTCAGCGATGGACATCGTGGGCACGCAAAGCGTTCTGAATGCGACTTTGTCTTATTACGGCAATAAACCCATAATAACGGATAGTCTGTCTAAACTATGGAGTAAAGTGTCTCACATGAAGTTAGCCCCACCTTATAAGGTAGGCACAGTTAAAGTTCTCTTCAATTATGCAATTACAGACTTCTTTTGAAAAGGTGACATTTTGGCAATTACTGCATTCAAATACATATCTTCTAAAAAGCTCGTCTGATATCAACTTTTTCTGATGAAGCATTGTCAGTTGTACGCGATAAGCGGACCCTCAAACGCCTGATGATTCAAATACAAAGTGAATACTGCTTTTAAAATTTATATTCACACATAGAGGACACTTATTTTAAACCTAATTTATCAGAAAGAAAAAAGAGAGCAAACTTGATTACCTTTTTTTGCACCGCTCTCCGCCAGGTTCTCCGTGTTTGGTTCGACAAGCAGCTCAACGCGTCCACACCAGATATTCTTGAGACTCCCCAACACACCCCCGTCAACCTCGTGGCGCAGTACCACCGCCTGGAACAAGAGGCCAGCGCCTGGGCCAACAAGACCGGTGGTTCTGTACTGGAATTCCACCTTTACAAATGGGCGCACGGCGACGTTGCAGACGATCAAGTGTGGACAATAATTTCTCCCACGGTGAAGCTGATTTATCCAGAGATTTTCGAAAGGATGTTCAATATTTTAGGCTACCACGTCAACTCGTTTGAGAACTTTTCATCTTTTGAACTCAACTTGCAGATGTTCCGGCCTAATTCGTCCTTCCCAATGGAATGTGGTCTGCCCAATTTGCATCTTGCCGGTGATTGGTTAAAAACGGCGTATCCTTCCGCGCTGATGGAGAGGGCGGTGTCAACAGGCCGAGAGGCAGCCAACCAGATTTTACTATCTGATCGCGTGAAACAAGTAGAGCTCATCGTGACATCTTCTAAGGGTCCAGGAATACTGTAAAATCACCATCAACATTTAACATCTATATTCAGTTTGATTACAAATGAATTTGCTGCAAATGCACTATTGCATTTATATAATTCAGAAAATTCGTTTCACACAGAAAAACTGGCTAGTTTCATTGAGCTCCATATTTGGCCACTTCTAAGGTCAGCGTAAATTTTATTTCAATTCAAATTCTAATTTGAAATCTGGACGCTGATACTTAATTAATTTAAAAAATATTTTCACTTGTACAACTTTCAACTTATTTTAATGGGTCGAACTGGGTAACAGGTGGAAGGTAAGGGAATGCACCCTGGTAGCATTTTATGATAATCTGAATGTACAATCAACTGCTTTCAGTTTTAAGACATACATGTACAGCGTAGATAGTTATATTACTTTAAAATATATATTTGACATGCAGGGAGTGATACTTAGAACCCTGGAGATAGTAAAAAAAGACGATATTTACTTCAACATTATCTTAAACACTGTTAACATGTTCTTTCTGGATTAAAACGTTTGCATGCAGTCCTTCACATCGAGGCATTACTGGGATTTATTATTTACACAATCTGAATTTTTTTGTAAGTGCATGGTATGAACTTGTTACTTGAGTGGCAATCCAGGTTCATCGCCAATACACTGACATACATGTAAATAATTTTAATTATCAAAATTTGCATAAGTCTGGACACACCGCTTGTTGCCTAAATTGAAGATTCTAATTCATATTTTCAATACCTTGATGTACCATAGCCTCTCAAAATGACCCAGGGAAAAAAGAGCACATGGGTCAAATATCACATCATCAAAATTTCTAGATTGATCACTATTATATACATTTAAACTTTTTGTCACATTCTTCTATCTATCTGACCTTTTTCTTGCTTGTAAATATCACAAGGACACTGCTTGCTGCTCTTTCTGCCAATCTTTTAACCTGTCCAAGTGCCTTTTGATCTTGACAGTTCAGAAACACATTTTGATTAGTAATTGCCTCAATCTTTTAATTACCATCAATTTAGAAATAATATTTCCATCATTTGCTAATTTCAATATTCTGTAAGTATTTCCAATTTCCTCCATTTGATATCAACTTCTTCATGTTCTTCACACTTGACGGTTCAAATGTTGTGCAACTTGTGCAATAAAGTGCACATTGCTTGTTGCTACTCCTGTACAAGTCCAAGCAAGTCCTTTAATCTGTCCAAGTGCAAGCTGATCCTCAGTCCTTGTACACTGAAAGTAGTAAGCAATATTCTCAAATGTGCAGTCACTATTAATTGAGTAACAATTTTTCTTTCTCTTTGAAACTAAGTGAAAAACTTGAAAAGGCATTTTGCCTATGTACAGCATACAATATTACACAATTTATACACCAAATTGCTGTTTTATTTTTCAGTCTGTGTATTTAATATGTTATCAGAAATTTATATTTTAACACACATAACTATTGTTTGAAAAATAAGAAACAGGAAGAAAAAGTTTTTAAAGAATCTAACTTCTACATGTATCAACTACTTGTAGAAGAATCTCAAAATTTCTAAAAAAGTATCCAACTTTAAAAATCCAGAAAAATCCAAGGATTTCTGGGAAGAATCTAACTTCTATGAACCTCTCTTTACAGAACTTACACAAGATAAGAAAAGGAAAATTGGTAATTAAACTAAGAGAGAAATGTTGGCAAATGGCAACTGACTGAATTGAAAATGGCAATGACAAAAGAAAAATAAGTAAAATAAATATAAGACAACTAAGTAGGAAACTTACTCCTTGATTCCATGACAATTTTGGCAAGAGACTCTACTCATCTTCAACATGTAAGGTGACACACCACCTACAAGAACCACCCATCTCCACTCCAATCTGTTCCAATTCATCTATAATCTCTGGTCTCAGCCTCCATCTCTCTTCTCCTGGGGGTTTCTTGACCGACCCCTCTTTTTGTTAGCACCAGGGACTGTATTGCACAGTTCACCTTGTGGAGTTTGCTTGAACATTTCTGCAAGTATACCACTACATGTCACAGGCACAGTCCCAATCCAGGTACATTCTAAATGCACCAATCCCAATTTGGCATAATGCATTTACTGTTAAAAGCAGCACAACTCTATACTTCAACTAATTTACAGGTAAGAAAACGGTTACTAGCAGTTGAGTTTAATATTTAGTAAGGCCTGATTGCCATAAAATGTAATCAAGGAAAGCAGGTGAAATGGAATATTCCATTCAAACTATCAGAAAATTCAATGCTGCTTTGTATATATGCCATTGCAAAGGACACCAACGCAAACTGGCCTCTGACCTAGTGTAAATGAGTCTCTAACCTGTAAAATAGTTACATGCACCTTACTTATAAACTTCTGCTTTTAAAAATGCATTATGCTCAATAATACATGTATGTGAATCTGCCTGAATTAGGATTGAGCCTGCGATATGTATTCACTCGTGGAAGGGAACCTTGTTACATAATATGATAAACTTTGAATATTAAAATGTTTTTTTTTCTTTTGTATTTATATACATTTGAAATGCCACTGAAAACATGCACATTTTTATGCCATTTTTTCATATAGTAATTTAAAACAATTTTTAATTAATATTACACAACAGCTGCAGCCATGTCATCAACAGAAATGAGGATACATATGAAATACCCCAAAATTTATTTAAACTTTCAACAGAAGACAGCATAAGGCTTCGTTCACATGCAATGTCTATTTTCTAAATTCTATTTTCTATTCGCGGTATGTCTTATGATCACGCTCTGTGCCCTTAATGTCCCGCGGCGTAATTACTGGCAGCGCGAGCCAGTTACTATAAGTAACTGGCTCGCGCTGCCAATAATTACGCGGAAAGAATAGAAAGAATACTTCCTAGCATCAGTGGTACAAAACAACTCATTGAAACACTTCAAAGCCTTGAATGGACTCAACCATGTACTGGAGTTCATTATGACACATACAGTAGTCTCATTTAATATTACATTAAAGTTGTGAAGATGCTAAGATAATGGGTAAGTCAGGACCACTGCCCATTGTTATCAGCAGCCCTAAAGAAATCATGGCACTTACTGTCATAATATCTTTCTTGTCAAAAGATCAGGACATGTGTAAGCCTTGCAAAACAATAAAGGAAGAAAGAATGGAATGCAGAATAGCAAGGTCTTTGACATTGAAAAGGACGCAATTTCCCTCATGTATAACATACTTTATAAGATACCTCATGATCCACACCTATACTTTGCTTAATTCAACAAAGAAAACCCTTTCTGTGTACATATAGAAAAATTGCATTGCCATCAATGAGAAAAGAGAACGAACAATACATTCATACGGCAAAAACCTGGAAAGACCATTTTTTTAGAAGGAATGTCTGTATCTTCTTGCATCAGTGGTAGCCAACACCACATTAAATTACTAAAATGTCTTCAGTAGCCCAGGTGGGTGCTCTTGCATTTGACAAGGTGAAAATTAAGGAGGGACTTGTCTGATCTTCAAAAACTAATGAGCTGGTAGGGTTTGTAGACTTGAACACAGCAGAGGTAAACGATCCCTCCAATCCAGCCCCCTCATCTTCATCAGTGCAGTAACTTGCCTTGCATATCACTCAGAAGCATCACCAAAAATGCGAAATGTCACAATGAAAATGCATTAATGTGTCACACACCATTTAAAATGTCTTCCACTCTAAAGAGCCCCAAGAAGAGAAGCAGGGCAGCTGCATAAGCAAGTTGGGAATTTCTGTATTAGCCCCTGGAGAAAATATTCTTTTAGTACAAGAAAGTAATTTTGATTAACGCTACATTACATAACAATTATATTATATTATTGAGATTTGAATTAATACAAGATTTGCATATAAAAAAATCATTCAATAAAACATCATAAATCATTTGGTTTCTGTTAACTCATCACACAGCATCTTATTTAATTGACCATAGGTAAATAAAATTATGTACCTCACTTTTCACCAGCTGAAATTTAATTATATATATTTTAGAAAATGCCACCACTGTTCCCTTGACAGGAGAAACGATTTCAGGCCCACATATAAAGAACTTGGTGCTCTTAGAGTTACTGATAAGTACTCCGTTTGTGCTACTATAAGTACATGCACTGATGATGTCTTTACAGATATTTTGAAGTCATTGCACATGGAAACTGCAGCTTGGGGAAATTGTGGCTTAACTGCGAAGCAAGTACCCTTATAATACCAGTACATTCAGTTTTGTAACAGATGAGAAGTAAACAAACTGAAAAGTGAATTGAATGAACAAATGATTTGTATTGGTAATACACGTTTTATCACCGATGTTAAGAAATATGAAGTAATTTCACACACTTCCTTTTTGAGGGAAAACATCTTAGAGTTATTGAAGAATAAAGTGCTAGGGTATAGTGATCTGGAAGAACTGATCATTGCAGGATTAAAAGAAAAATCAGTGACTTTTTGAAAAAAACATCATCTACATGAGATCAATGAACATTGGAAGTGAAATTTTTTAACATTTTTAATAAAACTTGCCATTTGTACATATAAATACGAATAAGAAAATAGAAAAAAACACAAGGTATCCATGTTTCACAGTTTCATCCCATTCACTGTGCAAAGCATGGTTAAATAAGAATAAGAGAAATTTTATAGAACACCAGTCAATCATTGGCAGCTTGGCAACTGGCATGAGGGTTATTACCGGGGAGGTTTCTTATGTCACTCTTTGGGGACCAAGAAAAACACTATTATAATGGCAAGAGGCAGGGCATGTGCTTCTGGGGGAAAGGGGGGGGGGGCAATTTATTCACAGCTAACTCATCTTTCACAATAAAAAAAAATATATATATATATTTCAAATAACTCCACATAGACTACACTTGTGGTTGTGGATTGTGCTGTGGACGTTGCGCCACCTATGCAGTGGACAGTGCGCCACTCATGAGAAAGAAAAAGAACAGCGGAAAATTTAAGAAGAGATTTACTCAGATTCACTCCACTGTGAGACTGCCACAGAGACAACTCATCCTGTGCAGCTATTCTTCAATCAGCAAATATTCCTAAGCTCATCCTACTGCATCAAGCCACTTGGTGTATAGGCCCCTATAGTAGAGACAGGCTAGGAGCTATTTGAAGATCTCATCTAGGAGTTCTAAAGGTGGAAAATTTATGGTAAGTTGTTCACGCCCCTGATCAGGGTGTGGCAACCGCCTTTGTGCATCACTGCTAGTTGGACTGTAGTTGTCACAAGAATAAGTGAATTTATCCACTCGGGTTCACTTTAACACTGAAAGTCAACAGTGTTTTAGTATTGGAATATTACACCATGTCTCACTGGCAATGCCAGCCATAAACAAAGAAATAGATGCCCTTGTTAATAAAGTGCGAAGTCAAAATGCTGTTGTGATCAGAGTTTTTTCCTTCCTCCACCTGGTCTGCTCTTCATGCGCCAAGATAGACCACCACAGGTGACTGAGTTAGGCCAGGTGGGGACAGCACGCCCCCTGCAGGAGATCATCTACATTGTGACATCATAACTGTCACACATTCATTGTCTCAGATCTCCCACTCCAAATCGGATGTGTCAAGATCGACGATCCCAAATATTCTGTCAAAAGCCTAACAATAGCCAGTAAGTAGACACAGTGAAAACTTTAATGCAGAAAATCGTGACTTATGTAATTTAGAAAAATGAAATGCACAATATGTACTTAATTTCCATTTGCAGACGGTCAGAAGAATGTCCAAACACTTTTTTTACATTTCCAATGGTTTTAAAACCCTAACCCAGCTAAACGCTAGTAATTTATGCAAGCAAATTGCCATAGACATATAAACGTGAGCTACATATACGTAGGGCCTACTGAATATTTTTTTATTTCAGTTTGTATTTTATCAAGAATTACTCATATCTTGGGGCACTTACAATGAGACCATGAACGACTAAAACTTATCAAGACCGAGCGAAAACCTACTTCTATTCAAGTTTCCCTTCCTTCTGTCCCTGCACGTGGAAGACCCGCGTGGTTCACTGTGGCGCGTGACGTTCTTACGTTTCGAGTCTTAAGTTACATAAGAGCTCAGTAAGTAGACTGTGCTAGGTGAGAATCACCCTCACCAACGCAATATGCTTCATTAAACTACATAGAAAATTTCGTAGTTTGTAGTCACGTCTACAAATCAGACGCACCATCAATGAAGAAACCAAAAACGCATGACTGATTTTAAGTAAAAAAGAAAAAAAAATTAAAGCGTTATTCGGATATCCCAATTTTACAAATAATTTCCTGTGGTTTTTATTTTCATTAAAAAATCACAATGACATCCCAGCGTGGTGGTAACATTTTCAGTACTCCATTTGAAAGTGGCAAATGCAAAGATTTCAATGTGCAAACAATTTATGATTAAAAAAATAATTAAAATAATTCTTTTATGACTGTTTGTTTTATTTATTTATTAATATATTTATTTATTTTGTGTAATCTGTATTTATTTTGTTTATAATTATATTTAAGTGCGATATTGGTCCAAAAGCTGTTGAGAGTATTTTGTTTTAAAGCCGCATCTATGAAACAATAAAATTCAAAATATTTTTTTATGCTATGTCGCACTCTGTATATAAAGGTTCTCAGTTACACTCTGTAGGTACGCTTATTACATAGCAAACAAAACTTGTGTTGTGCAGCCTTTCTAAGATAGAAGTAGGCTAGTTATAACGTCACACCCACCTTAAAGTGCGACTTCTAAGGAAGTTGTCGTCTTAATTAGATTTCCATCCTCTAAGATTCTGGTTTCTGACAAAGTACATTTATTTTGGCGGGCATAAAGGACATCTATGTGCATATTGCCATTATTTGAATCTGTAAAGTCCTGAACTTTTTGGTATTATTTTGCACCAGACACAGTGTGAAACTAAGGCGAGTACGCATGCCATTTTAAAAATGTCATATACCGAGTAATCTGGGTGCCCCGTTGACAAAAAACCTGGTGCGGTGACCTGATAAATGGTACACGGCAGCTCTTTTCTCCAAGGAAGTATTGGGATAGAAAAATGGTGCAAAAGACGCGTAAGAAGATCGGGGCGAAGACCATCTTAATATAGCCAATGTAACGAGCGTGTTAATGTGTCTAGTAGACCTGAACACCGTTGTAGGCCTAGGAGTCGTTTTTTTTTTTTTTTTATAAAAGAACACAACTGTAGTCCGGGAGTTGCCCTGAATTTCAGTCGTATTCCACATAGATAAAGATTTTAAAATCTAGTCCTGGGCTGACGATTACGGCTCATTCCCACTGAAACTATAGGTATATGTTGATGAATCTTACTCCACGGGGACTCTCGTTGAATTCAATCAGTTTAGCATCCCCCACCCTTTGGCGTTGAGTACAACAAAGAAAAGCAGTTGATTTTAGGAATACGTTAGAAATAATAAGAAGCGTGTTTGTCTGTTATAAGGGTCACTTCATGGGATTTTTTCCGCCAAATGTATATTTAGAAGTTTCCCCCACTCGTTCGAAAATCCCCCATATTCATGTCATGTCAAAGTCTCTAATATTCCACAATTCAGACTCTTAGGACAATAAGACCCTTAAAATAAACAAAATTTTTTTTCTTAAGCGTACCTTGTGTCGTTATCATCTTCGGTGCGTCGAATCCATTTTATAAATTTGAAAATGTGGAGGCTCTTCGCCCATGTTGTTTTTGAAAAAAGAAAAAAAAAAATAGAACATGTGAACGTTCTGCACACCCCGGTGAATATGTCGGTGACCCAGATCTTTGAAAGGTTTCCCTGAAGGTAGGGTGTACTTGAACGAGCACCTGCGTTACCAAATACTAAGGTATAAACTGTACCACTATGCAAAAGGTACTTCACGTCTTTTCAAAACAAAACAAAAAAAATAAAATAACATAAAAATAAAAAATCAAAAGTAGTAATAAATAAATAAATAAATAAATAAATAAATAAATAAAACTCTGAGCTTACCCCATTAAAGACCAAAGTACTGTTTTCAAATCGTACTAAAAATGAGTGTTGATACATGTCTCTGCTAAATCATATTTATTCAAGGACTGATACCGTTCAGGTTTAGCAACTAATTTTATCTAATTTCTCTTGTTATCGTTTTAAACTTTGTAAAATTATTTTGCGAGAAATAAAACTTTGAGGTTTAAAAACTGGCCTTTTTTGAAGTTTACATATTAGTAAACATGACATCTCTCAAATATATCGATTAAAAGAACTGAAGTCAAGAATTGATTTTAACTTTACAATTTTGGTCTATTTTAACTGAGGATAGATCAGTATTAGTTAATTTAAATGAAGCTATGTGGTCTGCTCTTTAAAAAGTTCAAGAAATTTGAGAAGAGAAAACGAAGAGAACTTTGTGAATCATCCCTCCTTCGTAAATGACGAGTCTGTAGTCGGGACATTTTGCCATTACGGTCACGTACTTGCTGTAAGATTATACCACGTAAACAACGGGGCTTAATTTCATCCTTATTGAACAAAAATATTCTTTACTTGGAAGTTACCTCTAACGTGAGGTGACAGCTTTCTTGAGGACACGCGCAAGGACATTTCTGTACCCTAAATTCTCAAAGACACAATGTGTATGTGTGTGTTTTGCTTGAACAGAAAATGTTAATGGTGTCCATATACAACTGACATTTATCAGAATGTCGAGGCTTGATATTATGATAATGAATTAGAAAAAATATATATATGGGGGGATGTCTTTTTAAGATACCTATACAAGAGGCAAAACGCTGGCGTAAAATAAGTTTCTTTTCGTTTCTTACAGATAGGAAATTTGTTATCGCATATAAAATTCACTTCTTAATTATTCGCAAATTGCTATCGTGCAATTTATCCGCAATAAGTATTTGTTTCGCGTACATTGTACAACTCTGGCGCAAGACACCGTTTCCATTTATTGCCAAGTGTTCTAGTCGGTTTTAATAATTTACACATCATATTAAAATCGCTTTTTGCCTCATATCATGTCGACTAAAAGCGAAACCTATTTAATGGTGAAAACGGGAAATCGCATTCCTCATCATGGCCAAAGCCATGGCCAATTACACGTGACTGCAGCGTGTGTACAGAGATGACAGGTTATTGCAGCATCGTCACTGTCCAATCAAGGTGGATGTTTTTTTCAACACGTGTAAGTACACGTGGAAACTGATACTCTGTCAGTAGGGACGTTCACACACATATCAATACCAAGACCAGCGCTGAATATGGGTATCTACCGTTGGTTTTTGGTTGTTTGCATGATTTTAAATAAGCCTGATAGCGCGACGCTGGAAGCGGCCACTTGATTGCAAGTTATGGTTGTCACGAAGGGGTGGGGTGGGAATGGGGGAGGGGGTCGGAGTCGGGGGAGGGGGTATCATGGGAGTGAGTTCAGACCGGTGTTCAGTGTGGGTGGACATGTGTCTAAAAGGCTTTATCAGGCAAACCCAGGTCACGTTTCTGTGAACAATCTATCCTCTGACGACACCAGTTAGGCCGTTTATAGGACAATGATCCTAAAGTTAACTTACAATAACAACTTACACAAACATTACCACCCCGATCAGACCAACCGAAAACGGCCGATCGTTTGCCGCGTGTAAACATGTCCTAGGCGTCCCCGTGTCACCGCCTTCTTATTATTCGGATTTTAAAGCGGTTTCTTGCCGCTATCCTCTTTCCTGTCAGAGGAAAACAGGTCGACCGTGACACAAAAAAGTAAATAAAAACGAGGCCTGGCAAGGACATCCCCATACGGCAGCAACGTAGAGTTCGAGACACAGCTGTGTTAGAATTGACGTTGAGACATTGTCCAGTGCGCATTAGACTTGAAAGGTATGTTATTAAAATTGTGTATTAATTCACACCCGTTCGTTTTTATTATAAGGTAGACCCTGTAAAGAGCATGGGGTAGGGGGTATGCTAGTGCACTTCTGGATAAAGAAAAAACTAATTACTTTAAGTCATGAGGATATTGAGCGCTGATTTTTATTATTTCTATGGCTATTTAAAAGACAAAACTGTTTTGATATATGCACTGATAACAGTCGCGCGTTCAGAAATAATTTATACGAAGAACCAAATTAGTATCTGCATAATGATACTGTGGGTAATCAGTCGAGTTTACAATAAAATCGATAATTTTGACAATGGCCCTTATCGATAAGTAACGAGTATATATATCTATCTGGGCTGCAGCATTATCAGAATTATGATGATGTGCTTCAATGTATGCACCAGATCAGATCCAATAGGTACTCCGTAGGTGAGTGTGTTGAACAGGTGTCATGTAAGCGGCAAAGTCTGTATATCGTTTGAATAGCCAAATACAAGCACAGTAACAACGTTCAGGTAACATAACGCATGAACATAAAAGAAGGTGTAAAGAAATAGAGCCGCAGTGTTAGTTAATTAGTTAGGTATTAAGTAGGTACGTTAGTTACACGCCATAGTTAGTAAGTTAGTTAATTTATTGGTTGATACAAATGTTCAATGAAAACACCATAAGAATGGGGGGGGGGGGTATTAAAGTACATATTGAGATTTCAGTATTTTAAAAAATATGAAGCAAACTTATTATAAAAGTCACATACGTCAGATATAAACGTGCACGTAGAGCTCTTGCACTGTTCCTCCATACTAAATTCAAACCAGGTGTTGTCTACATAAATCAATTACTAATTTTAATTAAAATTGAAGTCAGTGAAGTTTGTTCAAGGCACAATCGTGGAAATGACTTCATTTGCTCCATCAAGGTGGTATAGTTGCTTGCACAGTACCAAGTGCTATTGCAAGCATTGGCCAATAGCTTTCGCCATTCAGTGCCAGTACATCTGCTTTATAATGCCATCACAAAAGAACACAGATGGGTGATCGAAGCACACTGTTGGTATTTCTTGCGTGCCAAATAACACTTCCACACATGACTCGAATATAAAGTAGTGCCTGATATATGGTTTTTTGTTAAGCGCCACTGCCTCCCCCAAGTAAACGTAGGATAATTATCGGTTTTGGACAGTTTCGTGCGTTATGTCAAAATCACATGTTGTGTGGATGGCAATGCAGTGTCTCATGGCAGATGTAGTGTGGATGACAATACAGTGTCTTACAGCTCATGTTGTGTGGATGGCAGTGCAGTGGGTGACAGCACATGTTGTGTGGATGGCCCGTGATAGACTACATCACATGGATGGAGAGTGAAACTCCGTGACTTACGACTTGAACATTCAGTGGTACCGGTAATGCCGCCCACCACTGGAAAGATTACAGTGTACAAGGCCGTAGAATGACCCGCTGGTTGAACAGTGTGGTGTGCACGTGTTAGGCAGTTTAGGCACGATGAATTGGCAAGATAATAACAAAAATAACAATGAGTCGTGTTATGGCACATTCCAAAAAGTGTAAACGCGCCTTACAAACTATAACTTTCCTATCTAAACTCTGACAATATAAGATGTTAATGGCGATAAAAAGAACACAAACAAAAAACTGGCAATTGGATGAATTGCATATCTTCACGGTCTATCCGCTACCGGATCAGTATATGTAGCAATGGGAGGGGTTTCATATTTTACTTGACTATTTTGTTTTCATATGTCCATTTATTTTGGTGTGCGAACAGAGCTTCCTTGGGGCTTAAATTAAAAATGTCTTCTCTCTTGGCAAAGACCAGGGGCTGTGGATGTCATTTGATTATGGGATCTTTGTAAGTGTGACAAGTGCATGCGTGTAACTATTTGAAAATCTAATTCCTGTCTTTGAATTTCTTTTATTTTCAGCATTTCACAGAATGGCGTCTCTGTGGCCAATACAGTCTTCGCTGGGGGTCTGCCCCCTGTATTCTGACGTCACACTGCACTACAATGAGGAGCATTCTCTAGGGGACCTTGCCGCCGAGACACAGTGTCCAGGGGCCACCTCACCCATAAAACACTCCAAGAAGATATTCAACTTCTTTCGTTTTGGGCGTAAGTGTTGAGCCAATTCATATTTGAGAATTATTAAATACTTATTTATATGTCCTCCATATCATGTGGTATATGAGGTAACAAACACAACAGATAGGTTGATTGCTATTAATGTTTGGACAAAATGCCAAACCGAAGTGCGAATTATTACAAAATTTTCTTTTTTCCTTATTTTGTACTTAGTTTAATATATTTACTGATAATTATTAGGGTTATGAAATAGCTGAGATAGACACATGTATTGACTTTACAAAAGTTTACAATTTCTCAAAGAAAGGTTTTGTCTCAGTAAATATGGCACTTTTTTAGTTGTAACAGTTTTTAAACATCTCTACCAGCATCTTTCCATGATAATTATGGATGTCTTTTAAATGCGGGACAGATGTGTTATGTAAATATTTCATCATTCATGATCATCTCCAGATCTGCACATAAGTTATGTCAATTGTATCTTGTCAGACACTGCATTACGCATACACATTAAACATTATGGCAAATTGGCCGTACAACTTAAACATTATAAAGCAATTCGATTTGAAAAAAAAAAAAAAAAAAAAACGAAACTGCAGTGTCTTTCATTTAAGTCGACTACAGTGTATAAGGTGATGTGAGGATTATAACATATTGAAGGCCACAGTTTTTGCAAAATCTCAATTGCAAAAAAAACTACACTTTGACTATAGACAGAGAGAGCAATGTATTCAAAATGTTAAAATTGACAAGAAAAAAAAGCTAAAAATAGAGAAGATATGTAAAAATATCATCATCATAAGCAAAAAAATACCATTTGTTCGACACAATTCTCTGCATGAAGGCCAAGGATTTATCTGTCTTACGAATGCATACACCTCAGGTCACAATATGAATGTAAACATAGCTACGTGACACTATTGGCGGTATATCTATAACGTAACTCATAGCTCCTGGCACAATTGTGGAACGATCTAGTTACCGAGATCACCTACTAAAAACAACTTATGAATCTTGTCTGACAAAGGAAAAAGACTGATTCTTCTTTATAAATCGATGTTTTGATAGGGGAAGGATTGTTTGTTTGGATGCTTGCGCTACTAGCCGAATTACTGAAGCAAAACAGGGCAAGGAATGCAACGGGATATGTTTTCAAAAACATTGTCGAATTAAAATAAGACGCTTGCCTTAGAAACTCAACTCATCAGTGCACTGTGCTTAATAACTGAATAACAAAAACAGATATTAAAAGGTTCATTTCGTGCTCAGTGAATTTCAGAATAATTAGCAAATTATGCAATTTATTTACTGAGACGGTGTTATTTCAGGACTAAGACGAAGGAGCAGCTCGGGAGAGAAAGGGAACTGCCCGGGTGAGGCAGAGAGGACCCCCTAAACAAGTTCCTGACCTCTAGTGGGTTCAGAGACTGACTGTCACTTGTGGCAGGACATGGGTACCGGGCCGTTGAGGCGAACTCAGTACGTTGTGTCATGTTTCAGACAACCCAGAGAGCATGTTAAAGGACACGTTGAAGTGTGCTTTGGACCTGATCTCCAATATAAATATAGTTTGAATACAGCTTGTTGCAGACATTTATTTATTTATTAGACGGGGTAGATGGCTAAATCCCGGCATCGTGAACAAAGAATCAATTCAAAATATGGCGTGCATGTTTGGCGCATACGTTATAACTAATGACATCATTCAGCTAATTTCGAAATGATGTTGAGTGTACAGTATTTAAAAAGAAAAACAAAAACATTTAAGCTATTGTGTATTTATCTTTTTCCTTATTGATAAATTTTCGATTTTAAAGGTTAGGTATAATTTAAATCCGCTTTAATATTATTTTAATGACTGTAATCTATTATGTGGCATTTGGTCGGACAGTAAACTATCAACATATAGTTCAATATAAAAAACTAATGAGTGCAGGCCAAAAAGACTCAAGAAAAAAATAGTATTAACAATATAAATGCAAAATTATCATCCAAAATTATGTTTCGATTGTACAAGTGTATATATATATATATATGTAAATATGTTAAAATAAAGCTAAATTGATTAAGAAACAATGCTTTGTTTGTCAATATTTAAATATAAACATAAACTTTTACATGAATCAACATGAACAAAGAAACGTACTGTAGCGCATTTAACTTTGATTATCTAAGCATTTTAAAAACCAATTAATGAAATATTTGTTGAAGTAATTCAAAATTTATTAATCAAAATTAATTATCGCGTTCATATCTGCTTTTCTGGTCAAATAATCTACAACAGACATATGACAATTTTAATGTATCTATTTACGTTCGAGGCTGGAAGCTTTTTTTCACTGTAATAATATGAGTGGGATTTTGTTGGACAACTTTTTAAAAACGTCAATAAAAACTTCCCAACATAAAAATATCATCACCTGTTTTTTATTTGTAAATGCAAGATACGTTTAACTTGTTGTTTTCACCTTTGCTAACACGTGTGCCACCATGACACCTTGTGGCATGTTATTTGCTGTCAGCGGATGATGGATAGGGCAATCACAAAGTGCCCCAGAGAAAACAGTATCGTAAACACTATTCATTTGATGTACGCAGTCTTTTTCTGCTAGGTGCATTGTTAGTCGTATCGCTTTCAGGTATATATTTCATTGGTAATGTCAATGTTATATTTCACCTTAAAAACAAATTAAAGAAGGCTCGATATGGTGTACTTAAATAGACCTGGTCCTGGGTGACATAAGGACAGATAAATGTGTATCTATTTGCCATAGCATTGTGGCCTTTTTGGTTGGTAGATATTTCGGTATAGAATATTGATTTGTTGCTAGCAACGGCGTCAGCTAGCGAGCTACTCTGAGGGTACATTCCCAGAGATTTAGATTTAGATCGACCTAACTCCCTGGGGTTTCACGCTAAATTGCAGTTAGCCAAGCGCGCACCATAATTAATTACCTCCTTACAGCTTTTAGTAGGCGGACAGACGCTTTAGCCGGCTAAGCTGACTCCCCACAGGGATTGATCGATCTAAAATCTATGGAAATGGGGTCTAAGTAGACCATCTAAGAAGATGGTGACTGAGACATTGAAGCTTGATAAGTATTTCACAAATGAAGAAAAAATAACAAAATAAAAATTTAAAAATATCCCACAAATGTATGTCATTATGTAAATATGATAAAATTGAAGCAAACTCAGAAAAAACTATGCTTAGTTAGTCACTATTCTTTAGTGAGAAAATAGGACTAATAAACCGTTGTGTTTCAAGGGCTAACATTGTTTTAATAATTAAATACACTAATGATATACATTGCTCTTCAAAAACAAGTGCGACTTGAACAACTAAAAGACGTCACAACAATAATAATGTTTATTGAGCACTAAATGTGTACATGAACTGGCATTTGCAGGCTCACTATTCTACGACGACTAGTATATATACATGCATGCATGCAATAAGTATAAAATGAATATCATATGTTAAATGTTATATCATATATAGCAATGCTAAGAAAGTTTTATATTGTTGAGATGCATACACGCACGAAAATGCAGTAGTATCGAGGAAGCAAAGAAGCATTAGTGCTGTAGTGGTGTGGAGCATATTAGCAGTAGAAATGAAGTATAGCCTGCTACTGCAATTCTGCTCCAAAAATTACATAGGGTTGTACAGAGAGGAGCATTAATGCAGAAGATTAGCAGCATGATAGAAGCATGTTTCAACTATGCTAATAAGCTTCCAAATCTACTCCGATGAAGCAGAGGAAAAGCATTATGCTTATGCTGTACTTCACGGGCCCGCATCGTATACTTCAAAGAGTATAAGAAAAAATCAATGCTCGCGCACTGCTCCACGGAGGTACATGTAGGTTTGGAGTATATGAGAAAAAACCAATGCTCGCATACTGCTCTACGGAGGTAGATTTGGAGTATATGAGAAAAAAGCCATGCTTACGCACTGCTCCGCGGAGGTAGATTTGGAGTAGATGAGAAAAAAGCAATGCTCGCCCACTGCTCAGCGGAGGTAGTTTTAATAATTTATTGGGCACAAAGAAATGGTTTACATTTACAGGCTCTCTAACCAAGGCCACACTTTTTTATTTTTATGGATGACATCCTACGCGCGCACCGATTTTCGTCCGTTCTAAAAAAAAAAAAGGCGGTTGTCGCTAACGTCCTTATTGAATTTTGCCGGAAAATGAGCTTTCTGCGCATGCCTATTATCGCCACGTGGAAATTGGCGGCTTTGTCGTCAAATTCATGTCTAGGATAACTGTCAAATTACACGACAATTAAAGTCATAAAGAGGACGGAGGCCGTCGTTTTGGATTGGTATGCCATTGATATTTGGCACGGAGATATCATCTTTCTACAATTATACGAAAGGCTGGCGGCGGCCAGCGATTATCGCCCGAAAATTTCAGTGACATTCAGTCTAAAGCAGCACATACCAGGTTTTTTTTTTGTAGAGAAAACTGGGTCGACAAAGGCGTCGAGGTATTTGGTGGGCTGAAGGTCGGACAGCTAGGCCACCCGACAGTTTGGTTGCTTCGTGCGAATCAAAGTAAACAGAACGGCATCTACCGAAATGACCTTTAATAGACTTGGTAGTATTAAGCACATCTTTGCATCATTTTTAAATATTTCTGTGAAGTGTTCATAATGCTTTAATATTCTGAGAGCACAAATAAAGACATACAGTTTGTTCAATATTTGTTTTATTGACTGGTATACCAACAAAATGCATTAAATTATCTCAAATAGATTTGGTAATATGCAGCATATCTATTCATGACTTTTTTTACCTTTCTACGAAGTATTCACAGTGCTGAGAGCATGGATAAAGACATATTGTCAGTTTGATACGTGTTTCTGTGGTAAATTTGTGTTTCAAGCTGTGTACTGACAACATTCCTTTACTTAAACAGTATTTTTTGGACTGTTTTTTTCGCCCTCTCGCACCGATTTCTGGGTGTCATCCATAAAAATAAAAGTGTGGCCTAATAAAAATATAAAATGATAATTTAAGTAGTAAACAAGCCTAATCCACGCAGGGATACACGCTTTTTGGGGTATATGAGAAAAAAGCAATGCTCGCGCACTGCTCCACGGAGGTAGATTTGGACTATGTGAGACAAAAAAAAAAAAAAAAAAATGCTCGCGTGTTGCTCCACGGAAGTAGATTAGGAGTATATGAGAAAAAAAGTAATGCTCGCGTACTGCTCCACTGAGGTAGAGTCGGAGAATATAAGAAAAAAAAAAGCAATGCTCGCGTACTGCTGCGTGAAGGCAGTTTTGGGTATATAAAAAAAAAGCAACTCGCGTACTGATCCATGGAAGTAGTTTTGGGTATATAAGAAAAGAGGTAGTTTTGGAGTATATATACAGTAATTTCAACAGGCACCAATAAATTGACAGTCAGCAGATACTCAGTAGCTTCATCCTTGAGGTCTATATATAAAAAAAGACAGATTGAAGTTTCTTTCATAGTTTATTATTTACACATTTTTCATACAAAATTTCATTTTCAAAAGACTTTGATTTTGAATACGCTGTTCCTTGGAACATCAATTTCTCTTGACAAGTGTGATCTGATCCGGTGTCCTAAAAAACAAATAAGACAAAATAAATATCTCAGTTCTGGTTCGCTTGATTGTTTTTCTGGGAAGACCTCAACTTTAATAGCAACCATGCAAGATAATTAAAAACACCTTTTACAACAATGACTTGCATTAAGTGTTGAAAATACTTCAACTCAAAACACACACCTATTGTTGTTCTCTGATGACAAATATCCTATTCATTCAGTCTTCTGTGGTTTTACCTGGGCTCTATCAAATCAAATAAAACAATTGATATTACAATTCCAGTCCATTTGGTTGATTTTCTAGAAGTCTATAACTTTAATAGCAGCCAAGGAAATTAAAAGCGCCTTAAACAACACTACCATTCATTAAGTGGATTAATAAATAATATAATTCTGAAGTGGGTACATACATACACACCTTTTTGTTTTTTCTTGATTTACAGGAAAATGATGTAATTTTGCAGGCTATGGCCTGGCGCAGTTGGCCAGGGGTGGCTGGACTGTTTTTTGAACAGATGTCTGAAACATACAATAGATAAAAACAGATTAAGAAAGATATAGCTAACACTACCCTTAAGTCTACATTATACTTGCAACATTTGTGAGTTAAAAATGGAAGATTCAAAATCAACAAGTTTCCATTACTTCAAGGGTATATGTGCAATTAGACTACTAAATTAGACCATAAGTTATGTACCTATTATTGCTTTAATTGTCCTGGGATTCAGCTGCTTCTTCCCCTCAGTAGAGCTATTTAGAGTGCCGTTTGCTATTTCTTCACTGCTAAAGAAAACTGACATTAGCCACCTAGCCATCCTCAAACCGTATTTCACACTACCTTTCTTCATCTTCCCAGGTTTGAAACAGGAAACAAGGTCTGGGCGATGAATATATATGGAGCTGCCTGGGACCAGCTCAACCATCTAGTGAAAAGGCATAATCAGAAATATGATTTAAACTAATTGTTTTATAAATCACTCTCATACAAATAATCAGAAAGAAAACAAGATGAGTATGATAAATAATTATTTACATCAAACAACAAACCCACAGGAATGTTGGATGGTGACATTTTGCTTATCATCAAAGAGAAACACAAGCACCAAAGAGTAAATGAGCTAAAATTGAGTTATAGGGATAATAAATCTTCGTATGAGATCTATATTTCACAATAAAAATATTGTAATATAATATATTCTGTTTTACCACAAAAACCGCAGTTACAGCTATCATTCTGATATCTAAGCTTGTTATCGGACCATGTGACATCCACAGATGGCTATACTTTGTAATAATCTCTTATTATAACATAAAACCAAACTTTTTAGGAAAAAAAAACGGGACTAACTTTGAATGTAGAAATGGATTCATTAAACCATGGTAAGCATGGGAAAATTGTTGTTTACTCTAGGAAAATTCATTTTTTGGCCAAAACGACCAGTTATTATCCCTTAAACAATGACACATGTCAATGGACATACCGGTACTAGAGGCAAATTTGTATAAATATTAAAACACATACCTTATATTTTTCTCCAATTTTCTTTGGTAGGAGACCTGGCCTAGGAATTGCATAATCATCCTCTGAAAACAAACCAAAAAATCCTCATGTATATTCAGCACAATGTGTGTACATTTAGTTTTTAAACTGGTATCATATTCCATTCCACTGGACCAAATTTCTCTGTTTTAAGGTTAGTTATTACAGCTATGCTGCTTGTTATAACAGTTGTTCTATTAACTTCAGTAAGCAAGTTTGGCACTACTTTTAAAGCGTCAAGGGCAGAAACTTATAAGTATTAAAATAAAACCTGGCTTAAAGTGAGGCCAGTGCGGTGCTTTTAAAACTGATCAACATTATAGCCCATAGACGTACATGTACAGGTTTTGAACATGCTGTTTCTTGGAACATCTATATAAGTTGAGGTTGCCATATTTAAACTGAAAAGTAACCAAAAAAAAAAAAAAAGAATTGCTGTATAACAACCTACCTATGTATCCCTTACTACGCTCCAATAGCTTTACTCTTTTCCGTAGTTTTGCCACCTCTGGAAATACAAGAAGCATTATTTAAATCTCATCAGTCGGGTCTCACGGCTTGAACCACCCTACACTTGGATAATATGCTTAAAATAGATTCAGATCAAATCATTAGTTCCAATATGTCTTCCACTCCACCTTCAATGTCACAATTTACTATCATTAAACAACAACACACTGCACCGGCTTTAAAAAGTTTATTGGTTACAAACTACACTAGGAGGACTTACATCTAAAACTACAACCAAGTACAATTCTTTAATAAAAATATAAAGTCCTCCAAGAGAGGTAATGAAGCTGATACATAAACATACATATATATATATATATATATATAAGGTGCATTACTTTTCACACAGATGCAGAAGACTAAGTAAACAAGCAACAGGGCGGGTGGGTAGGAATCAGTGATACAATACGTGAGGGAGGCTATGCGTATGCTGCTGCACAACTCAAGCTAGCTTTGAATTAAGCCGTAGAAGTGGCGCGGCTTAAGGCCTTGTGCAGGTTAAGGGTACAGGCGGAATATGTACTACGTCAAAGGGCTGAACTAAGCAGGCGGCGCTTGTGCTACATTTAAATCATATTAACTAGGTTAATCCGCATGACAAAAATATATTGACATCATCTACTTCCATTTCAAAATGTCTTAGGTACCCTTAGAGCAAGGTAACTAAATATTGCTAATTAAACAATGAATTAGTGCACTTTTATATAATGCATACGTGCTTCTGGTGTTTTAACGATTTACTCAAATGGCTGTTCAGATCAAGTTAAGTCTTTTGAAAGACCAGCATTGAAGCTATACTCACTACGCTTTAAATGTCTACAATTATCACAATCAATACTTCTGGAAGGACAAATCATAACAATGGATATTCATTCTTCCACATTACATCAAATGCTCATTATAAAACCCCCACACGAATTTACATCTTTATATTTTTGTTTATAGCACAAGTGATTTTATGACAAAATAAATGTGCATTTTTGTCAAAAGATGAAAAATAAGGAAATGGCTTCTGAAAAAAATGTATTAGAGCAACTGCAAACATTTACCATTCACTTTTTCGTTATCCACAATATGTATAAAAATTAATAGCACATATTTATTTGAGACTCAATTAAAGGGATAATAACTCTTCTTATGAGGTTTATATATCACAATAAAAACATTGTGAATAACTCACAGAAATATAATATATTCTGTTTTACGACAAATTAAAGCTATTATAGCTATTATTCTGATATCTGAGCTTGTCTTCAGACCATGTGACCTTCATTGATGGCTATACTCTGTTATTGTCTCTTAAGAGATTTTAACAAAAAACCAAACTTTTTAGAAAAAAACCAGGGACTAACTTTGATTGTAAAAATGGATTCATTAACCATTGGTAAGTATGGGAAAATTGTTTTTTACTTCAGGAAAATTCATTTTTTGGCCAAAATGAAGAGTTATTATCCTTTTAACCTGTTAGTATTGCAAAGAACAATATATGAATTTGTTACCTGAACTGTCTTGGTTGCTTCTGGGCAACCTCCGGGTAGCCCTTAGCATTACAAGCTCTGCAAGTAATAAAATGGCATTATAAATACCATTTTTGTAGCTATTAACACATACAAAATACACATCCAAATAAACACTGCTTGTCTCGATTCCACACTTAATACATGTACTGTATCGACCTTCAAATAACATGCCTGCAATAGCAGCAATCACAGTTATCACAATCAATACTTCTGGAAGGACAAATCATAACATTGGATATTCATTCTTCCACATTACACCAACAGCTACTTATAAAAACCCCACACAAATTTACATCTTTATATTTTTTGTTGGTAGCATAAGTGATTTTATGACAAAATACATGTGCATTTTTGTCAAAAGATGAGAAATAAAGAAATGGCTTCTGAAAAAAATGTATAAGGGCAACTGCAAACATTTACCACTCGCTTTTTTGATATCCACAATATCTATAAAAATTTTTAGCTTATATGAGACTCAATTAACCGATTAGTATTGCAAAGAACAATATATGAATTTGTTACCTGTACTCTTGTCTTGGCTGCTTCTGGGCAACCTTCGGGTAGCCTTTAGCATTACAAGCTCTGCAAGTAATAAAATGGCATTATACATACCAGTTAAGTAGCTATTAACACATACAAAATACACATACAAATAAACACTGCTTGTCTCAATTCCACACTTAATACATGTATCGACCTTCAAATAACATGCCTGCAATTGCAGCAATCACTTGCTGCAACTCATATGCTGTTGTTTAGGCCTATCCTACACCCCATTTCCATAGTCTCACTAGATTACTGTCAGCTTGGCCGGCTTAAGCGTCTGTCCCACCTACTAAAAGCTGTAAGGGAGTAATTAACTATGGTGCCCGCTCGGCTGACTGCAATTTAGCGTGAACCCCC